AAGCATCACTGAGAAGCCGGAGGGGATGGTGTGGTGGGTAAGGCAGGTGCATGAGAGAGAGAAAGGGCAGGGCCCGAGGGCGTGGGCTGCAGGAGGTGAAGCGGCCGCTCTCAGGGGAGGCTAGGGAGGCAGCAGCGGCACAGGGCCTGAAGTCACCTGAGCTCTGGCTTTTGCCGTCTCCGTCTGTCTGTTCGCTGCTGTATCCCTTGCACCCGCTGCTGAACCTGGCACATCCAGGTACCGATTTGCTGAATGAATGAACTCCAGTCCCAGGAGCAGCATGGGAGCTGGTCTCCCCTGATGTTGTCACTCCTAGTGAAATGTGTTCTGAATCCAAACACGGGCACCAGACTGCATCCCAGGTGGCTAAGAAGTCAAAATGCAACCTCGATGCCCCAGCAAAGGGGCCTCATGAACCCATTCTTCATGCAGAAATGGTCCATTCTGATGCACCATCTGTGGTTGTGCAGTGCTGGCATCACTCCCGTGCTGAGACAGAACACAGCGGGCACACTCGCACCCAGCCTTCACTGGAGACCACAGCCATCTTCTTCCCACAAGTACACACTCAGGGGCCAAGGCCTGTTCCCCGCAGACCCTGCCACCATCCTCACACCCCGTTCCCAGACGGGGAACGCCTCCTTCGTCAAGTGACCAGAGGGCATCGTCAGGGTTGGGGCAAATCAAAATCACAGGCACCCAAGGAGACAGTGAGGAGAAGGCAGCACCCCTTCTGAGATTTCTGGACAGAGACACTTGGCCCAACACCGTTACTCAGTTTTAAGGGCATTCTACAAAAGTGCCTGGGAATCTTCGAAAACATCAAGATGAAGAAAGTCAGGGAGGTGCTGTGGAATGCTCCAGAGGAGGAGATGAAAGACTCCCAGGTAAAGGCAACATGGGTTCTGGGGCCCTTGGATGAAACGTGAATGAGTTGGGCACTAGTATCAGCCACCTGTCGACGAGACATTCCTGCTCTGGGTCGGAGGAGACATTCTTCTTTACAGGAAACACACACGGAAGTACTCCGGGCTGATGGGTGCAATGCTGGCCTTCAAAACAGAGTTTTTGGTACTATCCCTGCCACTCTTCTCAAAGTTGGAAAAAGGAAAATGGGCAAAAAGATGTAAACACGTGTCACGAAAAGAGGAAACTCACATGGCCAACTGACGTGGAGTGAGGCTGACCACAGCTCGAGATCAGGAGGCACAAATCAAAGCACAGAGGGGCTCCACTCTGCTCCCACCTGCTGGACAAGATTTAAGAGCCTGAGGACACCCAGTGCTGGGGAGGCTCGGGACCCACAATGACCTGCCAGAAGGGATGGACGTCTCCAGCCACATGACAGCAGCACAGCTCCTCTCCCACAGACCAACCCGCTCATCCCCTGAGTCCCGGACGCTCACTTCTGGGTGTGAATACAAGAGGAACTCTCATACGTGTACAACAGGGGGTGCGTGCAAGAACGTCCACAGCAGCTATTCACAAGGGCAAGAGCGTGGAAGCAGCCCGGGTGCCCGTCAGTAGGAGCATATGGGTGAATACACGCAGTGTGTTTGCCCAGTGGAATGTTGTACAGCAGACGAATGAATGAGCTGCAGACAATAGGGAAACAGAATGGAACAGAAAGTCTGGAAATAAACCTACACTGACATGGCCAATTGATTCTCAACAAAGCACGGAGGCAATTCAATTGAGAAAAGAAAGTCTCTTCAACATTGGTGCAACTTAATATTCATATGAAAAAATTAACGCCTGCTTCCTACCCCATGAGACACAGAAATGAACACAAGGTGGATAATGGGTCTAAACATAAAAGTAAGAAAACAAGAGAATAACTCTTTTAGGGCAAGCAGAAACTTCTCAGAAAAAAAAAATTTAACTATAAAAGAGAAAAATCAATAATTTGAACTTCATCAAGACTTTAACTTCTGCTCATCAAAAGACACCATTAAAAAATGAAAAGGCAAGCCACAGACAGGGAGAAAATACTCAAAACACACATCTGACAAAGGACTTGTATCCAGAATACACAACAAACATTCACAACTCACGAATAAGACAAACGACCCATTTTTTAAAAAATAGGCAAAGATTTGGACATCTCACAAAAGAGGATTTATGAATTACCCATAAACCGATGAGAAGGTGCTCAACATCACTAGCCATCAGGGAATGTAAATGAAAACAAAGGAGACGCACTTCACATCTGCTAGAATGGTTGAAACCAAGGCTGACCCATCAATGTTGGGAGAAGGTGGAGGGACACAGAGCGGCCATACTGCACCCGCCAGGTCCCTTCACCTGCAATTCCTCAACTCCGCCCCTCGGTATCTTCCCAAGAGAAAGGGAAACACACACCCACAGAAAGACTTACATCAGGATGTTTATGGCACTTTTATTGAAATAACAGGGGACTTCCCTGGTGGTCTGGTGATTAAGAATCCGCCTTCCAATGCAGGGGAAGCAGGTGCAATCCCTGGTCAGGGAACTAAGATCCCACATGCCGTGGGGCAACCCAAGCCTGCGCGCTCTAGAGCCTGTGTGCCACAACTAGAGAGCCTGCGTGCCACAACTACTGAGCACGCATGCTCTGGAGCCTGTGCGCCACAGCTAGAGAGAGAAGCCCGTGTACCGCAACTAGAGAGCCCGCATGCCTCAACTAAGACCCGATGCAGCCAAATAAACTAATTAAAAATAAAATAAAATAACCCAAACTGGCAACTGCTCGAATGTCGACCAGCAGTAGCACAGAAACTAACCGTGGTAGCTTCACACCACGGGTTAAAGCACAGAGCGACCCACCACCCCTCACAGTCACGGGGGACCACGACGTGGCGTGGAAGCTAAACGCAGGTGCTCACACCATGTGGCTTCACTCACGCTGTCTGGAAGCAGCTCTGGATGACGGAAACATCTTCCGCCCTGACTGGGCTGTTAGTTATAGGTGTGTATAAAAGTGTCAAAACCCTCACATTGCTCACTTTGTACACAGTTTTCACGCTGAAATCTTGCATTTCACTGTATATAAATTTTACCTCAATTTAAAACAACAGGATGAACTATAATGACGTGCAACGACATGGATGGACCTTAACAATTTAAGTTTAAAAAGTTCAAAAATATTATATACAGCCTGGTACTCTTTTTATAAAGTTAAACACAACTGAGAACTTTTAATTGATTTTTCTCAGATTTGCATAGATACCAAAACGCTCAGCAGGGGGTGAGGACAGGGCATCGTGTGGCGGTTGCCAGGAGCAGAAGTCAGCATAACGAGGTCGGAGCCGGGAGCTCACGTTAGCCTCGGACAGCAGGCTCACAGGTGCCGAGCATTATCAAAATAAACATGCAGGCACAGTCACGGACACAGAAGCAAACAACAAGACGGATGCATGGACCAGTGACGAGGAGGCGTCCTGAACCCAGGTTCAGGGTTCATCCAGTTTTGTGCCCCTGAGACCCTGGGACCTAAATTCACAAAGAGGAAAAGAAATCACCATGGAAACTGGAAAACAACGATGATAACTAAAATTTCTGCTCAGAACTTATGGGACACCCCACAGCTGTCATGAGGAGAAAACAACTGCCTTACATTGCACTCCAGAGAAGGGAGGGGCTGCAAGCAAGGAGCTCGGGGTCCAATTTAAGGTCAGAGGTCGAGCACCAGGATGAGCCTGAACACAGCAGAAGAAACAAAACCACGAAGATGGAAAATCAAAGGAACAAAACAAATAAACGTAGAGGAAAATGAGCCCAAAGGGCAGTGGTCAGACAAAAGGAGTGTAGCCGCACCCTGGAGGAGCCCTGCACCCCCAGACCTGGAGCAGCACCTCACCCCCAGACCTGGAGGAGCCCAAGGGAAGACTGCATACAGATAAATGTTCTCAGAGTGCCTTAAAGTCACTAAAAAGAAAATCTATAGTTGAGTATACACTACACATACAATTATGTGTTCTTTTCTCACCCATCATAATCATCTGTCATGTTATTAAAAATTCTTTATGAGCATTACAGTAATTCTCTCATACAGATTGACCACAATTCACTTCACTGTTAATCTACTATCCAGTATGAACTTGTTTCCATTAACTAATTTTCCGTCATTATAAATAACACTAAAGGCTCTTTATACATAAATCATTTTGAGAATTTCAAGGATACCTAGAAGTGAAATTCAGGGTCAAGGGCACAAGCATTTTTTTTTTTTTTTTTTGCGGTACGCGCGCCTCTCACTGTTGTGGCCTCTCCTGTTGCGGAGCACAGGCTCCAGACGCGCAGGCTCAGCAGCCATGGCTCACGGGCCCAGCCGCTACGCGGCATGTGGGATCTTCCCGGACCGGGGCACAAACCCGTGTCCCCTGCATCGGCAGGCAGACTCTCAACCACTGCGCCACCGGGGAAGCCCGGGCACAAGCATTTTTAAAGTTCTTAATACAAAATGCAAAATTATGCTGTCAATGCTACCAGTTCACGTTGCATTTCCAAACACTGAGTATCTACATTTGTAGAGAACTTTGTTAATTTGATTTTTAAAAGTAGTATCTCAGTTAATTTAATTTGTGTTTGATCACAAACAATGTAACATTTTTTAAAGGTCATTGTTTGCATGTCTACCTCTGAGAGTATCAACTCCTGTCCTTTCCTATTCATCTACCACTCATTTTTCTTTGTGTTTTCTCACCAACTTGCATGAGTTACTTCTATTTAAGGTTATTAATCTTTTAAGCATTGTATTTGTCAAGACCTTCCTAGCTTATCTTCACTTTGTTTATATGTTTCTCTGCTGTGCAATTTTGTGTCTATATGTAACCCTATTTATCAAAAATCAGTTCCCTCATTAGGTGCTACAGCAATTAAACAGCAACGACTTATCAACCTTAAAGGCCGATTGTAACGTATTAGAACAATGATTTTCAAGAACCACACTAAAATGTAATACCTCTTAATTATTCAAAACATATAGTCACACGTTTTAAATAAAACAAAGAGTTACTTACCGAATCCAAAAAGCAAAGGTAAGATCCTGAGCTCTGTGCTATGGCTTGATTTTTAGAATATCCGACTGTTTAAAGAAGAAAAGGAAAAGCTCTTTTAGAATTCAATTTTCAATGAATTCTCTTTCATAAAATTCAGTGTGATGCACACAGTAGGAAAGCTAGGAACATTCTGCACCACCAACTAAAAAATCAGGCCTCTTTAGAAGAAACTGATGGAGTAAGTATAATGATAAGAGACAACAGTCCACCCAGTACCAGTGTTAAAGCAGGATGTGCTCACAGGAGGAAAATAAAGTCAGCAAACATTTATCCAGTACAGCACTAAGCTAAACCCTGGGGAATACTTTTAAAAAACAAAATTACAATGTCCCTGAATGGAAGGACTTGAGAAGAACTGGCAGGAACACTTTCTATAAAGTCTCTGTTGATAAAAGTCACGATACGGTTACCCGGCAGTTGGGGCCACATACACACGTGCGATCAGCTGGTAGAAGCTCACTGGACTGGACACTTCGTGGGCAGTTACCTGAACACGTATTTCAGTGATGAGGTACAGGCCCTGTCAGTGTCCACTGTTCCTGCACATACTGGGACCCCCAGCTCTTCCGGGAGGTACAGACCCTACTTCACCAAGACATGATCGGCACAAGAACCCCTCTTGGGATGGAAAATACACCACGCGTATGAAAATACACAAGGAGGATGGACAATCGTGGCCGCACGCGGCGTGGGTGCCCCTTGCACTGCCGAGCACAGGGAGCAGGCACCATGTGGGGACGGCACACGGAGCACAAAGGCAGCAGATTCACCTGCGCACCTGGAAATCAGGGAAGCGGTTTCCCTTGGGGAGGGGGGCTTCTGGGCCGGTGATGTCGCTCTTCATCAGGGTGCTGGCTGCACGGTGTGCTCAGTTTGTGAAAATTAATTGAGCTGTACAAAGATGATAGGTGTACTTTTCTGTATGGATATTATATCTTAAGAAATGTTTTAGAATCCTTGCCTTCAGAGATTAGACCTGAGTTGGAAGGAGAGGTAACCGACAACCTATATTAAATGCCAAATGAACGGTGGGAAGCTCTAGGGAGGCTTATGGAGAGAAGACGAGACCACGGCAGAGGGGGCCAGAGAGATGACGCGAGTTTACATCGAGAGAATGGGGTTCTGAGTGATGAACTGGGCAGTGAGCAGCATGGGGAGGACCGGCAGCTTTCAAGGGTGGGCAGCCAGGATAAGGCTTCCGAATAAGGAACAGAGCGCAGAAATGAACACACAGCAAGCTCGGTCTACATGCTGAGGGCGGGGCAGGTTAGAGGAGGTACTTAGTCCAAAAGAGGGGACCAAGGGGCCTTCGAGGGGCACAATTCCCACCTTCCCTAGAAAGGAAATTCTGGTGCCTGAATCGTATTACAGAGACACTTAGATTTGGTGCCACCGAGGAAAGTCGCACAAAGCAGAACAGGTGTGGGCAGAGTTAAAACAATAAATCCCTCTTACTCAGAGCTGAGACAACCCGAAAAATGTTGGTCCCATGGGACACCAGCAAAGTGTCTGCCCCAGGCCTCACCCCAGGTGCTCCCCAGTTTTCCGCTGTAAGGGGAACAGGGAGAGAAGGCAGGTCCCTCCTGTTACTCAGACACTTTCTGGAACAAACCACACTGCAATCAGAAGTAAGGACCTTGGCCCTCATGCAGGGCGTCAAAGGGTGTGACCTAGAGCAGTGCCTTTGGCTGTTTTCACATGAGGTAGCACCTTAATTTCCAGCATTAATCCTAGAGCTTAGCCAACCCAAACCAGTTAGCAGGACAGTCACAGATTTCAAAGAACCACAGGTATAACAAGCAAGAGAAGGAAACGCACACAAGGGGAGACAGGGGCCTGGCTCCTGACCTATAGCAACTATAGGTAAATCTCCATCATCACCACAAAGCAAGGCAGGCCCAGAGAAAGAGCTCATGGAATCAAAACGAAAAATGGGAAAAGACACGCTGAAATTAACAGGGGCTGTGTTTAAAAAGCGGTTTTATTAGCGTTGGGTTTTAGAAGGGGAAATATCAAACCCAAGAATTTGGGTAATGAAGGAAAATGCATCTACTAAGGAAGCTGAAAGTTTCTCACGATGAATCTTGTGTTTGGCAAAGATAAGGAATTTGCTTTAATATTATTGCCTTGAAAAGTCAAATGTTTGTGCCAGGGCCTGATGTTTGGGGAGGTCTGTCCCTTTGTGAGGGGAGTCGGTTGTCATGGCCACAGCAGGAAAAACTCCCGCCTCGGTGCGATATTAACATTCCTTACTCTTGGAGAGAAGAGGGTGGGATTGTGTTTTATTTCAATTTTAGCAAGTGACCACATTATTAAGAAATGTTTTGCTCTATTATGATATGAAATAATAGTAAATGAATCTTAACCCAATTTAAATACCCAACACTCCTGAAAACAGACACTTTGGATCTACATTATCCAATAGTCGATATAACATTTCCTATTTAAGAAAATATTGTTCTAGGAAAATATGTCCTTTCTGACATAATCCAAATTAACTGTTTTATTATGTGTAACACAGGATTCCCATGAATTCGCTTGCTTTATCCAACTTCAGTGAGACAGCAGAATCATTTCTTCACAATGTTACAACTTACTTTTTTATTATTTATAGAATACATACAAATACGATATGGCTCAAGTTATATCTACTCTTTAAAAAGTGTTTTATGAATGATAAAACTTGCTTTTAAAGTGGAGATTAGACAAGCAATCGCAAGTCATCAAAATGCCTTTAAATTACTTCTGTTCAACTATGGAAGATGCGAAACATCTTAATTAAAGAATATTTTGAAAGGTTGCTCACAGTAGTTTCAAAAACCACCATTTGTTTACACACATTTCAGAAGCAGGTTGAAATGGATGTCGCACAATAACTGACGTATAAAAAATTTTCTATTTCTAACAGACTAAAGATAATGAAAACAAGAAATAATTCGGGGGAAGATACTAAAAATATGCATGAGATGGAGGAGGAGGAAGACAATAACAGAACAGCTGCTAAGACTTCTCAAGGGCCCACCGTGTGTGGCCTCCTCTGGAACCCGGCACACATCAGCTTGTCTTACGCCCTCCCGACACCCACACGGGCACCTACTGCTACAGCCTGTTCACAAAAAAGGAAACGGAGGCGCGGGGTGGGTGCAGTGGACCCAACCCCGCAGCGGCTCCAGAGCCCCCTCGCTCGAGCACCTGCCCCGTCGCCCATCCTCGGCACCTCAGAGGCTGCACCAGAAGGCAGGACCGTGTGCTGCCCTCACCTACCACAAGGCACCTCTGCGTGGGGTCACTGTGCGATGTCAGAGAACACGGTCTTTCCACAGGAACCTTCTAAAATAGCAGGGAAAAGGCTTTCTTCTTTTAAAAGACCAAGATTTTAAAATTATTTCTGATTTAACAATTTTTTCTAAACTATTTTAGACAATTTTCTGCTTTCCTAAGTAGAGTGCACTGGCTGCTGTTGTGAGGAACGCAAGGCAGGGCAGGGGAGCACTTTCTGGGAGAGAAGTCTCTGCTTCGTTCTCTGAAGCCCAACTATTTCTTAGCCCATTTTCACCAACATCCACCCTCTACTTGCCCCCCTTCCAAAAAAAAAAAATGCTGGCAGGAAGCTGCAAAAGGTAAAGTGAAGGGCACCTGCCCTGGCTGCCCTCAGTGGAAGGAGATGCACTTAAGCCCCTCGTGGAGAAGCACACTATCTTACTTGAGAGCCAGTGTTCAGAGATGCTTAAATCTGTTTGAGGGCGGGCCCCAGAGAGCTCGATCCCAGCTGTGCCATCGAGGGGGGCAGTGTGAACTCTGAATAAATCAGGACTCAGGCGAGACCCACGTGAGCTTGCAAGGTGCACAAGCAAGAATCAGCAAGTGAGATCCACTGAGTCCCCCGACCACCCAACACCAGCAGAAAAGAGCAGAGAGAAAGCGGGAAGATGAGAAGGGGTCTTGGAGGACAAGAGGCATCTAGAAAGAGTAGAACTGCCTCTCCCGCTCACACCTCTCCCCTGAGAGCTACCTTGAATGCTTCAATCCTATGCCACACCCTACTGACCCACCCACCCACCTGGAAAGGATCTGAGTAGCTGCGAGCCTTTGTTTTGGCAAGTCACCCGCTGGGTTCGAACAGGATCTCATAGCCGAGCTAACACCCCCCCTGGATCTCATCTGAGGGGTATTCCAGAGGGATCCCAAACCTTCAGCTGTGTCGGGAGCTACAAGGTTCCCTTAAGACCAAGCTCACTACGGAGGTGAAGCTACACCATTCCTGAGGATTTTAAAGGAGTGGTTCTCAACCCTGGATGCGCTTCAGTATGTTTTGGGAAGCTTTTACAACACGCATGCCATGGTTGCACCCCAGACCGATTACACGAGAACATCTTAGGGTAGGACTCAGGCATCAGGACTCTTAAAGCCTCTCCAGGCAATTCTAACATGCTACCAAAGTTGAGGACTACTTTTTAAAGAAAGACATGACTCCTAAAGCCTATAGGAACCTGTCCACCAGCCTATCATCTGCCCTACCTCTACCTTCAACCCCACCAGCCACAGTCTCAGCATCTGTCCTGCCTCCACTTTCAGCTCTAGCAATGTGTGCAGGCATATTGTTTTCAAGTCTTATATGAAAACTGTAAAGTCAAACTACTGGAAGCACACTAGATTACAATTAAAGCTAAAAATGCAAAGCGAACCATTTTTACAGAAACAGAGGATGAATGAAGAAACAACCACAACTTGGCCCAGCATCATGAAATTTCAAAACTCAAAACATAAAGAGAAAAATCTTAGACACTTTCAGAAAAGATGCCTTTAAAATAACAAGAATCAGACTTACATAAGATTTCTTACTAGAATCAGGGGATACCAGAAGATAATGAAGCAACTCCTCCAAAATTCTAAGGAAAATTATTTTGCACCTAGAATTCTATACCCAGACAAACTGCCAATTGAGTATAAGTACAAAATAAAGACATTTTTAGACATGTAAATACTCTAAATATTTTACCATCCACATACTGGATATGAAAAAATT